GCAAATATAGAGACAATCTACACAGTATATCCATATGCGTCCATTGCTAACCGTATTCTATCTATTTTACATAATGGTTATAGCGAGCCAGTTCGCACAGGATGCCCATATATCAACCAAGATTGATCAAATTACAGTCAAAATATCAACATCAGGATAATCCGAACCATTTCATATCGAACATAATGCAAAAATTCATTGTTTATCCTACATTGAGTTCCATTTGAATGGTAGACGTATACTGATTTCTTGAATTATCTGTAGGATGATTATGTTTAATAACTACATCATTTCTATTGAGTTAATAAACGCTTTTTTCCCATTTGACTGTACGTGCTTCGTAACTGACAGTCAATCACTTAGAATAAAGTTTTCCACACATATGAATGAAATGTTTCCAAATGCTGCTATTTTTACCCACCTTGACTTTAAAATTTTACTTGATTGCTTAATAAGTGCCTTTGTTAATCGATCGATTTCTATTCAGGATATTCTTGTGTAATCTTTGTGCTGCATAAAACTTAAACAAATGCAGATTATCTGATAATATAAATTGAGTGGTTATTTAAGGTAGTAAATGATCTGATTTGAGCTCAGTATTTTCCTTTCACACATTCAACTTTGGTTTGTAAAAAGAACGATGATGTATAACATAAAAAGATATAACTAAATGATAAGGTTCACAAAATTCCTGATAAATATCTGTTACCTCGTTTATAAACATTCTACCACTGGACTATCAATTTAGTAACCATTTAAGAAATGTTTACCGAATATTTCTTGAAATCTTCTGCGTCACCTTGATACTTTCACCATTATTTGGTCATTCATGCTGTCAGACTAGTTTGATGAAACAGATTCAGAGAATATGAAGATCTTGAAGTATCTAAATTATGACAATAAGGAAAAATAAAATACTCATTAAAACACGAGCATAGTACTATAGTGTTATGATCAATACAAGTTGCGGTAGTTTCTAACATTGTATGTACATAAAACGATTCCACTCTCTCACTCTCTCTCTCTTAACGCTTTATACAGTTAATAAACATGAAATAATAGTGACATTTTTAAAATTTTATCTATCACATTGTGTCTTTCTAATTTCATAAAATGATTGAGCTACTCTAACTCTCAACCTCACTAGAAATGTAAAATATTTATATTATGTTCGCTAATTATTGTCTACAACTCACTAAAATTTGTATTCTACTGAATTTACCACTAAGATTGCATTAAAAAATTTTCACTGAAGACGTCCCCATCATGAAACCAACGATTTTGACAGAATTAACACATAGGAAATTTTATGATTTCAATCTAGTTGTTGATTTGTAATTAAACCAATGGTTTTTATCTCTTTCCCAGCATTTTTACCTTGTAATAACATTGTTTTTTTCTTTTGTTAAACTCAACATCGTAAAATAATTAATGTGTTTTCACATTCTATATATATATATATATATATATATATATATATATATATATATATATATATATATATATATATTAATTATTTAGAATTGATTTTTTTTGGCAGAACGAAGTGTGAATAAATGTTTTATGAGTTCGTTTGTCAAGAAATTAGGTTTTCGTAGATCAAAAATTATTAATTTTTAAAGTAGGTTTGGTAGCTTTTGTAGCGTCTCATTTTAGAAAGTCATTGGTTATCTTTCATACTCGAGGTACTCTACTATTTACATCAGTCTGTTAATGATGAAAATATTCATACGTCATTCAAGTTGTTTTCTTACCTTCAGGTGATGACTAAAAAGAATGAATTACCATGGAAAAGCTAGATAGTTTAAATATGAGGATTAACCTTTCAACTAGAACTTACGGCAAATGAAAATAAAATTAAAAATTAAGAAGCAATAAACAGATATTTGATCTTCATTTGGCACATCTCAACAACATGTATTCTATGGGTCACACAAGATTGACCTTTATGAATCATAGTAACTAAAAGTTCAGTGATAAGGATCGGAGAGTCAGAATATTCAAACTTGATATATATATATATATATATATATATATATATACAACAGCATCAACTTATCTGTGATCATACACGTGAATCCATCTATCAACTCATGCATCTCATTTTATCCTATATTACTAAGAAATTAGTGTCAAAATGATTAACAACCAGTGTCTGATAGGTTTTCCTAATCAACTGATAATTTTATAAAAATTCGATTGAGTATTGATGTATATTTATGTTGTAGTTAAAAGCGAATAACTGAAAATCCAATTTTAAATGAGTATATTAAGAGACCCAATGCATCAGTAGGTTATGACACCGAACCATTATAAATTTCAGTTTTCCTGGAGTCCTTACGAGTATATCACGCATAGATTTAGTCTGTGTATTCGTTGAATACACTTTAGACACTAAATTAGAATTCCGATGTTCTGAATATTTAATCAAAACAAACTCACAGAGGTTTTTTTCTTGCAGAAGCTTACTTAAAGTATAGGGAACAGAATGTTTACGAAACAGTACTTAAAATAGATGATTTCACGAAAAATTCAAGTAAACATAATAAAACAAATAATTACTCCTCAACACGTTTGGGTTTCAAAATTACCAAGTGTCCTATTAATTTATTAACTTCATGTTCATATACCAATTAAAAATAATAACGCCATTTTTAAACATAAACTTAAACTGCTCGAAAGAAATGCGTTGAAGGTTATCTACGTCAAGTTTCAGTTTCAGATACTTTATTTGAGGAACCTCGAAGATTTATTCGTTCTAAAAATTTTTTCAAAGCCTATTTACTTATAATATCACTTGAAGTCCTATTAATTATTTGTTTAATATATGAACATATAGTTAGAACATATGATGGGACTTTGTTGAACAGCTTTTCATCGCAATCAAACAAACAGATTTAGCCCAGCGAAAATCGTTCCTAAAATTTTGCTAGAAGATTATCTATCTATTAAGGTATTTGAAAATAATCTCTCGACAATAAATCAATAAGTAAGTATGGAAGTATTCTTTGAGATTTCGGAATTCTCATAGTTTTAAAGCACTTATTGACCCCCATGAAAAAACTCGAAGCCTGTTCATTCTAGTATCGGACTGCTTAAGAGTGCGTATCCATAATTTTCCACCCAGGAATCAATCCCATGGAAATGCTTCACTTCTAAATCACGAATTACTGTGTCTAACTTTCACTAACATCAGTGCAATTTTTCCTCAATTGAAATCAATACGGTAGGTATGGTTCATAGTTCTTGTACTTCAACATATTGATGGTAATTTTTTTTTGTTAAAATTGGAATGAATTAATTTGTGGGATACATTACAAAAAGATTTTGTGGATATTTCTTTTGAAATATCCATTTTAAGACAAAATAGTTCTTGTCACTAATACATTTTGATAAAAATATAATTCTTTCTGCTTTCAGAATTTCAAACTTAGCATTAAATTGAGTGAATAACTAACTATGATGACAAGTCTTATTAAACTAGAATCATTGATTTGTTGTTCTTGTAACTTATTTCATTTTCAAAGTCATGCATGCTAACTGATGTTGCTTTAATGTAACTTTCATTCTTTAAATTAAAAAACCTTTCTTCTCATTTATTTCCCTTAATGATATACGTATATTTCATATGCTGTAACTTTCTACTCAAAATGACCTAGTTTTATTTCAGAAATGAGCGCTTATTTTGTTTACGAAATATATATATATGTATATATATATATGAATAATTAGTTATCAAAGTATAAATATTGCGGATTAATCGGAACGACAGCTGTATATGTTTACGTTTCTGAAATAGAAATCAGTTAATCTGTTTGTTGTTAATTTATTCAAATAAGTCATATGTTTCAATATCGGGTCAGTGGATCTTTTTATAGGAAACACAAACGTCTCGATAAAACCAATAATCGTCACGCTAATCCCTAAATTTCAGTCCTTCTAAAAAAATATCAAACAATAAAATAATGATTGTGTGGATATCTAGATACTAGATGAGTAAATATGTTTACTTTAGTTCATGAATTTATCATACAGAAAGTTGTTCGGTCCCAAGCATTTGAAAACATATATATATATATATATATATATATATATATAGTATTTTATGATGCATCCAAAGATCATACAAAATTTCAAACTGTTAATTAAAGTGGCTATACGTAGTTGGTTTCATATTGTACGTATAAAATAGGTCGATGGAACCTTAAAGTATGCTTGCAACCATCAAAATATATCGAACTCAACACACGTACTAGTGGTCACAATGAAATTCAGTCGAATGTATTCGGGTACAACTAATAACCGAATTGGCATTATATTAGTCTGCCCTATATTGTCTATCAAAGTAAAAGTTTCCGAAGATCAGTCAGTCATCAAAAAGCTTAATGACAAGATTTCTGTCTGAGTCACTGTCTAACACACGCTACAATCATATAAAAATCTGTAACTTTCTCAATTATACTGATATAGTTTATCGATATGTATCAATCAAATGGAAAAATTCAGACTCGATGTATTTTTATCGATTACATTGTACCATCACTCCTGTTATAGACTATACATCAAGTAGATTCCGCTGTCGACCCGATACATTTTTCTGGGAAAATTGCATTATTTGAACAGCCCAGTTACTTTTCAACTGTACAAATATTTACTCATCATTTCAAGGTAATCTGATGAAGAGATATTTCCATGTTTGTTATAAACTAAACAAGTATTCACTGGAGTTTAGTTAAGTTAATGACACTTCTTTGTCTCATCAGGATCGTGGTCAAAATATGCATAGATATAACTAGATTTTTGTAACGTGTATCGAACTATTTATGATCTCATGGGGTGTCACATGTTTTGATAATATATTATAACTGAGCACGTTTGAAAGTTTAAAAAAAACACTACAGTTTCCACTACCATTGAATATGGTACAGAGAAATAAATCCTTTTAGTTATAAAACATTTAAATCTTTTAACTATATTTTACTTTGCTATTTTCATTTTAGCAAACTTTTTACACCCTTTGGAATCTCAATACACGGATAAATGGACAGAAAAAAGTCTTATCAAAGATTTATTGCGGGATTATGAAAAACGTGCAAGACCTGTAGTCGATGGGATGTCAACAGAAATAACTGTTGGCAATACAACTGTACAACAAATCACTGTGGCATTTGGTCTCGGTTTGATTCAAATTCTTCAGCTTAATGAAAATGAACAAATTCTCACTGTCAGTGTTAGATCTCTTTACGTAAGTTATTATGATGAATCAACGTTTCAAACATTTTTATAAAAGCGAAACAAAAATATTTTCAAGGCTTAGGTAGGTAGTTTAATCTCATTTTCGAATTATTACTCATATCAGCTATGTTATGTCAAAGGTAGGTCAACTATTCATTCAGGACATTAGTAATTGGTATGCAAGATATGTTAGGCAATAATTATTCTTTGCATTATTTATGACATTATGTTTGTCAGTGAATTTCTTGGACAAAACGCACTTTACATTTAGCTTACAGATATATTATACATGTATCTGATTACATAACTATATCGAGATGTAATAAAATATTCAACAGGGTTCACTGTAAATAACTGAATATACTTAATGATGCCCCGTAATAGTAATAAAGATGTATATTCTACCTTCAAGACATCATCTTGAAATGACTGAGACATTTTTATACAATAGTAAATATGAGAGCAGAAGATAAATGTTTCTTACAACATAAATCGAAATGAAGTGTATTAATAAACCATGAAATAACGAATTAGTGAACAGTGTACTTGATAAATTTAGATTACGGTATGTTGGAATCTTCGAATGAAAATGCAATACTTAATTTATAATTCAACATGTAAACCCAAGAAGGCAGTTTGTATGCTAAACTATTTATCTCACTCTGTTTACAATCAATTAAATAGAATCGGATTTAGAGTTTTAATTTGAACAAAACACATAAGCTGTTAAATACATAATGTGGAACCAGAGATGACATGAAAGTTTATTTATGTCATCAGAAAAGCTTCTAAACCTGACAAACGATCACATCTAATTCAGTTACATGGTGACATGTCCACTAACTTTTTCCTTGTAAAATAAATGAACGAAAAACTCTGCGTTAAAATATTGAAAACAGATTTATTCAACTAGGTCGAACACATGAAATTAAGTGTTCTTATTTTTACGTTTGAGTTGATTGTATCACTGTACATGCGAAAATGACGGTTGAGAGAGAGAGTTATAGGGGAGTGACAGGAGTCTTTTGCCAGTAAGATATAACTCGAATGATCAATGTTTTATTTAAATTATCTTATGTTATCAAAATACATCTGTAAATGTATAGTAGCTTAGTCACATGCAAAGCATCCATTTATTATACCTACAACCTAAACCATATGTTTGCTCTTTTTCTGTTCTACCATTTAGCGAATATTCCAAACTGATATAAATATTAAGGCCTGGAAATACTAATAAAGTTCTACACGATAATGGCGAACTTCTATTGTTTTTATTTATACGCAAATGAGCTTCCATAATTGCGTGAATAAATAAATATCAATATCTGTTGTATTCAGTCATTTAAATAAAAAAAGACTGTTTAGCAGTGAAGTTTACTGGAATAAGTTGTTTTAAACAAAGCTATTTTTCAAATGTCAGAAAATGTGGTTTAAAAAAAAGTAAATAACAGTAATAAAGAACACATACTTTGCTCTCATACTGTCATAAAAAAACTATTCTATCAAGCCTTGTCTATCAATGATGCTTTGCTAATGAACAGAAAACTCAGGCCATCAAAATAAATTAGTGTACGTTAAAATTAACTTTTATGCATGTCGACTAAAAGCAATAATGAAATAAAAGCATCTCAGATATGAAATAAACATAAATGATTTATTGACATCTTCATAAAAATAGCAAAATAAGTATAAGTTAGTATTAGGATTCGGGGAAAATATTTTATTCGAAATATATCCTAACAATGCTTTTATAGTTTGTCATTTCTCAAAGTCGGATATTTGTTTTTATTTTCTTAGTTCAAATCAAAACTTCCTCATACTTGATCAGCATAAGTAATTGTAAATAGATTTCTCAAACTTATTTTCTGTCTGACACTGAAATCCTTCCTTAAAGAAGAACATGCTCAAATGTACAAGTATTCCATTTTCCTATGGATCTTCATGGAATAGTTAAGAGAACTACTGATTTCCTTGACTAAATTCCTAGGTCCTACCGGTAGAAAACCATATATTTTATGTGAAAACGCAAGGATTGGTAGGAAATAGAGAATTCGTGGGGCGTTCAGTTAGTGTTATGAATTGAAAGAGAAGTTCGTGATTCCTAACTTGTGGCACTGACTAATCTAATCATCAGTTTAATTCTCTTGACATTCTGGTTATTGTGTTATGGAATTTATATATTTTTACCGATGGAGTCTGACAAATAAGTCATCAAAAACATTGTTCGTAAAAACTGCTTTTCATTAATAAACACCTCACTTTAAAACAATAACACTTCCTAATGTAATATTATTCAAAACTGTAATGTTTATAAGAGAAGCGTTTTTGTTTCACATACGATCGAAATTCAAAGTATATACAGTAGTTTTTTTGAATTTTAGAGTTGAACAGGAGGTTTGGTCATAGAATTGAAGTTACTAAATACTACTACGTAGAGTTAGAGTTGATTCGCTTGTCAGAATTTAGAACACAAACATTCAGGATAATCTTAATTATAATAGTGAATATTCATTTTCTTCGAACATATTCAGCAGACGGATTTCCGTTTACATTATTTATTGAAATTTAACGGTAGAACGTTAGTTTATTCCGTATACCTTGAGTAAACCCATAAAATCCGCTTTCAGTTAATAATAGTATGAAACTAACTAGTTCATCGAAAATTCTGTAAGCAATTTCGCATTCCGATAAGTAATAGATGTCATAAAAAATAAGTTTTTAGAAAGATATACCGTCAAACAGTTGCTAGATTTTTATACACAATCATAGGAAAAGGTATGTTTACTAGTTAACCACATACAGTTTATTCAGTCAGTAGAAAAATGTAGGTTAGCAATATCCAAAAACTATATCAATCTTAGACTCATTAAACACAATTCAAACACGTCATTTGTTGTTATAAACTTTTATATGACCGAAACATATAGTTTTCTGAGTTCAAACAGAACCCATCGTCATTGTGAGAAAAAGAATAATTTCACTATGTGTCATAGCATAATTTTAAAACGGTTGTTATTATAGAGCATGTTTGCAAAACTGTTGTTATCAATTTGAAGATATCGGTTACTAAACTATGTCAAAGAATTTTTAGAACAGTTATTAGACGTATCTGGTTCCGTAATATTTAAGGTTGAAATTACCAATACTTCGTTAAAGAAATGTTTATAAACCTGTTCTCAATTGATCACAGTTACGACTAGGTTCAGCTAGGTGAAATTCATTCACATATACTGTTATACATTTCACTATCTTAATAAAATTCCTATCAGCTGTTAGGTTGCTATTGACCTTTAATGAAACATCAATGCGTATCATAAAAGAACCTATCTTATTCGAAACACTTTTAATCAGAGGAAATGCAACCTTATTTAAATTAAATTTTCAAAGGGTTTGTACACACTTTATATATATATATATATATATATATATATATATATATATTTATTTATTTATATATATATTTACAAAGAGAAAGAAAACTATTGAAAACTTTCGTAAATATCGTTTTCGTTCAAATCTATTTGATCATATTAACTGAACATTAAACAAAGAAGGTCAACCAGTTAAAACTAGGATAATTCACTTTTTATACAAACATTATATTACATTAAATTTAACCAATGACTGCAATATCATAGACTTTTATTTTTATAATTTTTTCACTGTTAGCGATGGACTGATTATCATTTGGTATGGAATCCAGAGGAATATGAGAATATCACTCATATTAACATTCCAACTGATAAAATATGGCTTCCAGACATTGCACTGTATAATTAGTAAGTATATTTTAAATTAAATGTCAGTGAAATTTTTATATTCTATTCACCGTTATGGAATAACTAAATACTAGTCTTAAGTTAAGTTTGTTATGGCTCCGCAAGTAGTCTGTGATGCATAATTGATTGGATAATTCTTGGACACCAATTTATGTGCCATCCATGCTAAACATGTAACGATTGTACCAAAAGTTTGTATATACTAGAAGATTTATTGTTAGACAAAAGGAGCTGTTTAGTATTTAAGGTATGTCGATAACCTTTCCACATTAATATATATTTTGAAAACGATGATTCTTATCTTGAGACATTTTAGTTCAGTAATCTGTGTTTTGTATCAATTATTTCGGGCTACATTCATCGATACTAATGCTGATATCGTCTTGAAGAAAAATATAGTTGACTAACAGTCCGAACAAAATGAATGAAAAATACATAGTATGCAAAAATATAATTAGTAATACAGTTGTTTTTCAAATACTAGCTGATGTAACTCAGTCGTGTTTGATATCCTATGCAAAATGATATATCGTAAATGCGGTATTTCATCACAATTTTATTGTATAACAAGTAAATAACCTATCGATTCGATGAGGCTATACACATAACTTATAATAAGCGATACACTTACAAGTAATTTTTTCTATCGATATAAAACACCTGAAGTAGGGTTCCTTCTACACAGATTTAGCAAACAAAAATAATTAAAAACTAGTCATATATCTATCAGTTCTAGCCTTGTTGTTCTTTCCAGCGAAAAAAAACCCAACCAGTTAGTGAGATTGTGAGTTACCTCACCAATAACCTGATACTAATTTACGCGATCTCTTTAAACAGCTTAACGAAAAACTGTCTATCATGTGGATTCTAGACCATTAGCTTAAAGATATGGTAAGTTAACCTAAAATTAAATTTTTTCTGAATTCAATTTCATTTGAGAATAAGAAGATCTCACAGTAAAATAAAATAAGTATTAGGCGCTCACTTTTTGTGTTGTGTTGAATTTAAAGCGCGTATAGTCTGATTTATACATTAAAGTATTTTAGGAAATTTTATTCAGTAGCTAAGCGACAGTGGCTGTTGAGTTATTATTTGGAATTCTCACATTTTAGTTGAGTTAGAGTTATGTCACTTCAGAAAGCAGCGTTTCACTTACATAAATTATTTTAAACAACTAGAATTCAGAACAAACAATGAGATGTTCACTAAGAAATCCTTAACAGTTGAATTTAATCTCATGATAGATAATTTCCATAAGTAGTTCAGGACTTTATCATGCCATCACGCAATCGATCCTAATGATCTAGAAATAATTTTTATACTAACTATCACCGATATGAAAATCCTTGATAAGATGTACAAGATAATATGTTGAAAACTTAATAAATATTGTCGCAGAAATACACTGAGTTTACGATTTATCCATCAAACAGAATGAAAAAGCCGAAGACAGTAAATAAAGTATAGAACTTAAAAGTAAAAATAAGTAGTGGTTTGCTGATCTTTTTTTTCACTTATACAGTAAAAAAGTTTTAGTAATGATTACAATGAGATAATACCCTGAGGATATTGAATTCCATTGAGTAATTTCATATCATTTTTCGTATTCTTCTATTTTATTTTTTTTCTAATATGACCTAATGGTAATGAGAACTTTATGTAACATCTTTCTCTACCATACTCTCTCTAGTTAAATCGAATAATTTACTAATCACCTTCATAATGTTTTCACTCTATCTTTATCTCAAGTTATCTGCATTTAAGTAAGTAGGTAAGTAAGTAAGTAAGTAAGTAAACAAGTGTGAATAAGTTAGTAAACTAGCAAACTAGTGAGTGAGAAAGTGAACAGTTGTAAAAAGAAAAGTAGTGTATGCACTGACAACTAACAGCTAATTATATTAGTGAAGACTAATGATGTATTATAGAAGAAAGTGAAAAGAAAACAGAATGAATGGATTAAGTCCTGAAAAGAAATAGTGTCTTTAGCATAAAATTCTACTCTTTATATATATATATATATATATATATATATATATATATATATATATATATATATTCGTAATGGGATGAACTTTCTTTTCATAAAATCTTCAGTAAGGTTACTATAAAACACTTTTAACAAAGAAAAACTTACCAAGAAGTGAACATATTTCAAACTAGGTAGGAATCGATTGCTTACTTTGTAAAGATTGTATACTTTTCTTAAGAAGTAACAAATATCTTCACCTTTGAAGAGATAAAGGATATTTTCTTTACTGTAGTCTCTTTTTTCTATTTTTAGTATATTTCTTAATGGTTTGTTTACATAAATTGTTGATGTTGGTTTGTTTTAAATTAAACTGGATTATTTCATTGGGATTTGAAATAGAAAGTGTATATACGCTGTAAGCATTCAAAATATACTAAACTAAATAATTTGATTGGTAAATACATGTTTTATACTGAATTGTTTTTATACATTATATGGTATGAGCTTTCCAAAACTCTCTGATGAAACGATTTCAATTATTAAATTATAATGTTCAAAATACATGAATCTGTTTGATGTCACTTTAGTTTGTATGTGTTGACTAAACGCTTTCTATCATACATAAAACAATATTCAGTATTAATTCAATTGTGATTCTTGGGCATTCTAGTACTCTTAGAGCTTTCTATAGTTTTTAAAATGCTCCTAAAACGTGCTAGACTTGGATTTATGATGAAACTATTAATTTTCTTCTAATGATTATAATAACTACATGTATCAGAAGTGTACAATAATGAATGTCTGGTCATAAAATTTGAAAGCAACTATCTTTATCAATAGCAAACTTACCACTTGATAATACATTATTTAAGTTTTCAGAAAGTCTTTCAGAATATCCTTATAAAGGTGGGAAAAATAATACAATACAAATTTCAAATGCACCGAAATACAAGTGATGATTAGTTAAGTTTCCTAAACTGGTAATGTCCGTTAATTTCCTATCCATTTTTTACACTCATTGTCACGTATAGCGATAATATTTCGACTTGCAAATTTATCATATTAGAGGAATTAAATGATTTCTTTTCTAGAATAAATCTTTTTTTATAAATATTATTACAAAAGATTATGATAATGAGAAATATTTAAATTCACCACAGAAATTATTCACAAATATCGAAAATTATATTTTTGTAATAACTTTTTTTATTCTAACCAGTAATTTAAATACATGAATGAAATGAATAATAAACTGATTATAATGTGAATCAATGATGCAAGAACATAGTTTAATAATTTTTTAAAATTGATTTACACCTTTACAACTGAACAATAACAATCGATAAATGATTACATAGTAAGGCATCATTCTAATATTCCATTTCGTTTGTTTAAATAGAATGAAGACAAATTAAGACAATCTTAAAATTTTTGAAAACAGTGTTTATTACAAATATTGTGACAGTAATTAACATTAATGAGGTTACTATTTCACAGGAACTTTAAATAATTATCGACTATCAGACATTTATAAAAAGAAAATGCACTACTAAGTGAATTCATGGGACCGAACTGAAGTAAAAATAAGTGAAATGATGAAAGTCAAACTTTGTAGATAAAAGACAATTGAACTGAGAGATTTTTATACTGTGATGACTCTACAGCCGGAGAAAGAAAATCATTTCATGTAGAATCTGTTTCATTTTCAAAGTTTAAACGTTACTTAGGTTCATTTATTGAGTTAGTATAACTAAACAGAGCCAGAACACTATTTAGAGTTTACATAACAAAAAGTACAGATCTTCATAGGTTACTATAATTATCAAATCATGACATTTCAGAATATTCATTACTAGCTCTTGAAGATCTTTTCAGTTTAATTTTATATTACACGGTTCAGCTGAACTGAGTGAATCACTTTGGTTCTAATATTACCAAGTCTACTTTTTATAACTTCCGTTACTTTCTACAGAGACAGTAAAAGGAGTAGCACTATTATTTGGTAAGATATTTTGTTACAGTTAGCTTGAGATAAAGTTCTTGAAATCATTATATCATCTGTAGTAAACTCAGATTAAAAAAGTTAAAACCTATCATTCTTTTACAGTATACACAAATCCAATGCATTACTTAGCTTTGAATTACGAGGTTTGTTGACTTCCCAAACTGACATGCTTTATAGCATAGTAACATACTATGTGAAAACTGTGGGAAACTATACCAGTAATTTTGCATTGAGTGTATTATTTTAGTAGATAGTCACTTAATCCTCAGTAAATTAGTAAATAATTGGTTACCTTCACTGGGTATTTACTAAGCATTCTACTGGCAGCTGAAACCGTTATGCCTCATCGAAAGCGACAATTGATTGTTTATCAAGTTACTGAGGTCATATAATTGATAATTAAGTTGCAAACTCAACAATTTCGATCGTATATCGTTTCAGCTGTGAATAGACAAACAAGATAAATGAAAAGGCCAAGATAATCCAATCAGAACTGTATGAATTATTAGTTCCGATTTGTATGCCCTATATTAGCACCATCAATAAGTGTACTTTGATTATGGCGTTAACAATTTTGTTTGTTTTAAAAAGGATTACAATAATCAACCTGCTTCATAGTGATCTGAAACTTTCAGAAGTGAATACTCATAATTTTACACAGCGGAATGAATTTATGAAATACAAGCTTCAATCACGACAGCTCTAACCAATTAAAATTTATCTCTATTTTAAGAATATTGTTTAAGCATGGAAGCTGGAGACTCTAGATTTCATTTTAGTATCCAAAGCACCTATCCAGTAGTCTTTGGTTTTCGTTGTATCTGTATTTAGCTTCGGTTTGTGTTTAGTTTTACTGTTAAAATATCCTTGACTTACATTATGATTAACCTTATATCAATTAAACACACTTGCATTTTTTATTGATTGTCATTTGTGCACATTATCATTTTGGTTTTCAGTTTACATACTAAGGAAGTGAAGAAAACTTCACTTTTGACATTTTATTATGTTCGCAAGCCGAATCTA